GTGTACTCCTAGATTTGTGAAAATTTTTTATACAAGACTTTGGTATCAGTTTTAGAGCTTGCATAATTTTTCAACATGTTTCTTTTTCTGAAAATTTTTAATGTCATTATGTATTATAGTATTCTATTAAAGTCTTCCATCTCTCCACTACCAGCCTTTATATCTCATGAACAACTTTCTCAATATTTTCCCTAACTTGCTCTAGGGAAATTAAACAACTACAAACACCTATTCATCATGCCCTTCATTAAAAAAAAAAAAAAAAAAAAAAAAAAAAAAAGACTCCCCTAGTAGAATGATCCTCCCACTTTAGAAAAATGTAATGACTTCCAAGCAGAAAATCGTGTTTATTTTTCCATTTTCAGTATAGAAAACATCATCATTTAGCAGAGTATCTTTATGAGGTTGCTAGAGAAAAACTATGGATCTTGAAAGAAATATTAAATACTAATGCAGGACTACTAAGGCATTTTGCTTTCCATATTTAATTTTAGTAAAAAATGAATTTAGCAAACATTACTTACAAATTAATGAATATTAATAATTGCAAGTTTCAGAAGCATTCTACTAGGAATAGAAAAAGTAAGAAATTAAAGATGTTGAAAGACATAGAACAATCTACTGCAACAGTTGTGAGGGGTTTTTTTTAGGTTACTCATTTATTGGAAAGTTGTTATATAATTTTTAAAAATTATTTTTTTGGCAGGGGTAGGTTAGGTGTATATCAGGACATTTAAATTTAACTAGTTGTGAACCAATAAAAATAAATCTTTGGTGCATATTATTAACAGAAAAAATCTTTTCAGAATCATGACTTAACTTTCTATAATTTGTATATTCTATCATTATGTTTTAACTGACTACTTGTTAACTTGTTAAAGACAAGAATATTTGTTGAAAATGGTTTTTGTTTCTGTTGCTCTATTTATATAAAAATGTCTCATTTGGTAGAGATAACTTTTACCTTCCTATGACTTTATCTTTTTGACTAGCAAGGCACCTCAAGAGGAAGAAAGCAGAAAGTTTCCAGATCACCTTTTAAAGACAGAGAAGGAAACAAATGAAGAAAAGAAACAAAATATTTGGTTCAGGGGAGTATAGCAGTTTTGGGGGTGAATGATTTAGAGATCAAAAGGTTAAGAAAGATAAAGAAGAAAATTCTTTCTTAAAATTTTCTTTTAAAGAATATGAAACCAAGGAAAATAAAACAGAATAAAACCAATCAAAACAAACCAATGTAAGTGATACAGGACTTCAAAACAATACGAAATCAACCATAATATTTCCTGCTGTCTTCAAAATAGCTGCAGATACTTTCTTTCAGACATAGTAAAAATCAAACAGAACAGAACAAAACATAATAGAACCAATAAAAACAAAACAATGAATGTAATAAAGGACTTCAAAACAAGACATTAATAAATCCAAAGTGAGTACTAGAGTACATCAACTATGACAAAATCAAACAAAACAAAACAGAACAAAACCCAACCCAATAAAACAATGAAAATTATACATGACTTCAAAACAAACACTAGGGAATCAGCAATGGCTACCACCTCCTGAAGGAGATGCCACACTGAGTACCATTATCCTCTGAACAGATGAGCTGACCACTGGCTCTAGACCTGGTCAGTAAGACACCAAAACACCACAAACATCAAACTGCATTTCACTTCAATAGCTACTATCCTACCTGTGTTTCTCTGGATCCCCTGGTCACTTAAGGGTGTGTGGCAGAAGACTGGCTCTTCTTGATTGCCAGCCCACATGTTGGAAGAGGCTGGGGTCTGGGTGTCGCCCCACCAGTGGTGGCCCACGTGTGATACTGGTGTGCACGGAGGGCTTGCATCTTGGTAAATCCTTATTCTTTCCAAAAATTCTTACAAAGAATTTCTTACGTAGACAATAGACTGGTGGTTTCCCCTTAATTACATGGTATCGTTTGTTTGTTTGTTTCACTAGAATAAGCTTGAATGTGGAAAATTAATGGATCAGTTCATGAGACTGTTCCTCAGGTCACTTTCTACTTTTATTGATATTATTTCTGCTTGTTCACTTATAAAACTTGCCTTTCACAAGTGGGAAGGAGTACAGACATAGCTCAGAAGTTACTGTGTTTCATAGTCCTAAAAATAATTTGTTCTCTGAGGTAGTAAAATTTATTCTAGAATAATGGAATGGAGTGCTAAGTTGATCCTAGTGTACTAATTCCTTTTTTTTCCTGGGATCTGTACTTGAGGATATTTTTGTTCATTCTTAAACTGTGTTTTTCTATGATGTCAGAAATTCTATAAAAACCTGTGATTTTGGTGTTTTTAACCTACGTGAGATTTTAAAACCTTGCAACTGATATTCTATCTTAGTAATTTATATTTCTCAGGGTGAATAGTTCCTGCACAGGGTGTTATTCATTAAATCTAATTACTTTATCTCATGATTAACTTTGTGTTCAGAGAAACTCTAACATGAACTTTGGTTATAATGATTTCTCTGTGATGAAATATTAAAATGCAATTCCAAATTACATTTCTTTATATATAAAATGTGTGTTATATACTCAAGTGTACATATTTTACATATTTTATATAGGGCATAGAGAATGACTGTAAATTTTATTATATTCATCCAAATTTATGTCTTGTCTGGTATGCACTTACCCAAATTGAGTAAAATTTTGTAAAACTGCTCACTTTTTAAAATTTCTGAGTCTTATATCAGGTCTCTTTTGTGTCTTATCTACTTCATCTCATTTTCTAGTTTTTAAAACTAATTGCATATTAGAAAATGTGCACTATGCTAACATATCCCATCTAAGAACTATGCCTAGAAGCAATTGGCTCTGGGCAAAATCACTCATAGAATATTATCAGTGCATAAAAATAACGTGTGAGGAGTACAATGGTACTACCTTGGCTTATGAGTGCTTTCATTTGTGAACAATTTGGCTTGCAAACAGAAAACCCTGACACAGTTTTGTTTTTATAGGATAATTTTGCATTGGTGACATGCAGGACTGTGGCCATCTTTCCTGGACAAACACAAACATCACTATCATTTCCAGAATCATGGAATAAATTAGGTTCATGAACAGAGGCACCACTTTATATAAATCTGTAGCCTCCTGAACAGCTGGGGAATTTTACAGTTGAGCTTTACTTTTTCTTTTTCTCATGTATACATTTATGTTTCTTTTCTATTAGTCCTGAACACTTTTTATTCCTTAAGGTTTTTTGTACGATTGTCATTTATCTCATTGTAGATTATCATCCTGTTTTCAAAGTTGTCATTGTGATATCCTGAGGGTTATAGCTAGGAAGAAATTTTTGTAGCAACCTATATTTCACACATCAAGAATTTGATACTCATGCTAGCAATACTTCAAAGAGCAACAGAATTGTGCTTATAAGCCATGTGGAGTGCTTTTCATTTTCTCACTCATCTACACTGCTCTGTTGCCTCCAGACATTTTTAGGAAGACACTGAGGGTGAGCAAGTCTGACAAGGTGTAGCTCTCTTGGCTTCAGGTGTGAACTGATCTCACACTAATGTCAGTGCACCACATCTAGGATGCTGCTCCCACTGCATGTGGCTGTGGCAGGAAATCTTTCTCGACTTTAAAAGCTACTGAGAGTTCCTGGTTCCAAAGTGAGTACAGAGAATAGTAAGTAAACTTTAAGAAATTTACAGTAGGTTTCAAGATAGTTGACCTGTACAAAGGCATAGATGGAGGATGAGGTGGCATAGCTGCCTTTCTTGCATCAGGATGAAAGACTTGGGGTTCCCAGCCCTTTTCTTGCCTATCTTCTGTTGTTTGTTTCCCAATCTTGGAGCATAAAGCATCCTCCAAAGGTGCTCAGCCTCTATTCCACACAGTACGGCTTTTCTGCTGATCTTGTAGTGGGAAGAAGGAATACTTTAGGGATTGTTTCTGTTTCTTCTGGCTGTGTTAAATGAGTATAACTAATTTCCCACTTGGAGAAAAGAAATAGGTAGTGAGGCAGAAGCTTTCACTCCAAGCTGGAACTTACTTTTATCCAAAGTATCTGAAAGCAAACAGACCTCCCACTGTGACAACTCATTTATTTCTAAAGGTCCCCATCTGGTCTCTGTGAGAAATCCATATTCCTTCTATTAATAAAACGTTGACCTTATTTGTAAGAAGCAAATAACTTCAATCTTATTACAGTCTAAGAGCATCTGCCTTTCCCTGTTCTGGGCTGTCTTTAAAACTGTCATATATTACAAGGTGCTATGCCTATTTTCTTTTATCCAATTCCTGGATTTCTTCTTGAATTGTTGGAGAGCTGGGAATGAAATTTAATTCACCAAGTCATGCTTATAATGTAATCTGCTGAGTAGTGTCCTGAGATTATTAATTCAGGAGACAGATAGCCTCCAGGAGTATAGCTTTTTGCATTTCTATTCTAATCAGTGTAGGTAGGTTTTAATGCCCTGTGTCAAGCAGAAATCTTTTTAGGTACCTCAATGAAGCATCCATTTTATTGTTGTTTTTCAAATTTTTAAAATAAAATGAAAGTTTAGAATAAAAATTTCAGATGCTTTATTAATAAAGGAAAGACATATAAGAGGACAATATATAGGATTTAGTTTAAAACCTCTATGCTTTTTTTGAGAATATGAAATTTATATTCACAGTCATCAAATATATGAGTCTTTGGGGATTTTTCTGAATACAGACACACACACACATATATAATTAAAAGTTATGATGAATTAAATTTTTAAACATTTATTACATTAAAAGGCAAATTACCATTAATCCATCTCTAAATATTCCCTCTCGTTTTCAACACACTTATCCTATTATACTTGCCACTTTCTTAAGCAGTTCTGGAAGTCTTTTTTCATGAGTGCTTTAAGTTTTGCTGTTACAGCTGCTTCAGTGTTCTGAATCAGTTCAAAAAATTTCTTTTTAATGGCCATTCTTTTTTTTTTTTTTTTTTTTTTTTTGTCTTTTTCCTTTTTATCGGTACCAGGGATCGAACTCACGACCGCCTGCTTGCAAGGCAGGTACTTATGCCGCTGAGCTAAATCCCCAGCCCCTTAATGGCCATTCTGACTTTGAGGAAGACCCAGAAGTTGCCTGATGCCCAACCTGGTGAGTAAGATAGACGCGGACACTCTATGATGTTTTCATGTGACAGAAATTGCTGTAAAGTTTTGATGAATGAGGGGTGAGCATAAATATAATCAATATTTAAAATTTTTAAAAATTATTACAATAAAGAACACACAGACATTAATCTCTTTCAAAGTACCCAAAATACTTCTGCTTCAAACATACTTTTCCTAGCATTTTGGCAATGGATGTTTCAGTGTAATGGTTTTTAAATTCAATACCCACTATTTTTATTACTGTTGGTATACCCTTTGCTATGCTAATTTTGCAAGATTTTTATAAACACTGTGTATCAGAACTTTGTTTTTTCTTCTTGTATTTTTTCTTTTCATATGTTCTGTAGCCTTATGATTTTTCCTCTGATTTATCTAAAGATTGCTATTTTTAGCTCTTAATCCTTTACCAATCTCTGTTACCAACACTTGCAATTGTCAGTCATCTCTAGTACCTAACATTCATATATTTTTGTTTCATCTCTTCTAGATTTCTTTTTATTCTTTTCTTCTTTGTTTGCCTGGACACTATCATTATCAAATATTCTTCTCATTATTAATTTCTCTTCTAAAATTAATTTTAGATTTTTACCTTCCCTCATGAGTTTTAGTGCACAAAACAAAATGATCTCATGATGTTGTGTGGTGCTAAGAGCCACTGCATCTTATTTCTCCACTTTGCAAAATGAATACCATTGTGTAGTTTATGAATTTATGAATAATGTACAGTGTCACGCACCAGCAATTGTGTTTAGAAGTTCTAGGACTACAAAGATGAGTAAGTTATACTTAATGCAACCAAGAACTTTATAAAGGAAGGTCCCTAAGAAATTTGGGAGCTGTGTAATTGCATAAAATGGCAAGTGATTCAGGGCCTTGAGTTCATTATAGTGATAAATTACTGTGGTTTCCCATATTCCTATGTGAGCAGGTGTTGACATTTGAATCACATATACTAACCACACATTTGACATTGCTAGAGCATGAAGATAGTTAGAAAAGTTAGTATTCTCAAATAATTGATAATGCTGTGAGTTCTTGATATATCTTAAAGATTTTCTTGAATGGAAATCATCCTTACACTATAATATGCCTCTCTTTTTATAAGCTTTTGTGTATTATTTGATTTGAAAAATAGGAAATGAGAAGAAATGGTATTAATCATGATAAAGAGTTTATATTTTCACATTATTTGTAAGAGAAACATGTAATGGTATTTTTTATAGTGCCAGGAAAGACATAGTTGACATGTACTAATTGCCTACTATGTGACAGTTTTTCTGCCTTACATGCATTCTGGAGTTTACTATTCTGACTGAGCTCTGCTTGTCTGTCTGTCTCCCTTCCTTAGCTTCCTCTCCGTTAGCTTCCATTCCCTTTCCTTCCCTCCCTCTTTGTCCCTCCCTTAAGATTCCCTTCCCTTCTCCTTCTCTCTCCCTGTCCTGTCCTCTTCTCTCCCTGCTCCTCTTCCGTCTCCCCTCCATCTCCCTGTCTTTTCTTTTTATTTCTTTCTCTTTTTATTTCTCTCTCTTTCTTTCTCTTCCTCCTTTCTTTTCCTCCTCCTCCTCCTGCTCCTTCTTCCTCTCTCTGTCTCTGTCTCTGTCTGTCTCTCTGTCTCTCTGTCTCTCTCTCTCTCTCTCTCTCTCTCTCTCTCTCTCTCTCTATATATATATATATATATATATATATATATATATATATATATATATATATATATCTGGATTGAGATCAGGACCTTCACACTGAGTTATACTCCCACACTCCCACACATACCCTTTTTTTCTTATTCTGAGACAGGCCTTAGTAAATTGCGTAGTCTATGCCCAAATGTGTAATACGTCTGTTTTAACCTCCTATAATGCTGAGATTACAGGTGTGAGATTACATATATTTTGAAGTCAAGTGCTTATCTAGTTTATTCTGTATTCTATGTAATAGTAACTTTTATGTCAGAAACATGTAAAGCCAATTAAAATGTGTACTATTTCCTAAGTTTGTATGTATAAGTAATCTCTTCTTTGTGATTACCTATGCATAAAAATCTGACTCCTCTTTAAGTTAGCTTTATGTCACTATGGCAAAAGTATCTGAGTAAAACTATTTTAAAGGACTGTATGACTACTTGATCACATTACTTTAGGACCATGATGACACAGCACTGTCCTGGAGGAGCAGATGGTAGAGAAGGACTATAACCTCATCCCTCTGATGATTTAATATCGTCCCCCTGAGCCCCACCTCTTCAGACGTCTGCCTCCTTCCAACAGCCTTACACTGGAGAAAGGCTTCAATAGCAGGCCTTTGAGGGTATTCAGGATCCAAACTTCAATATGTACTACCTGAAAAACAATGCATCTTTTAGAAAAAACTCTTTCTCAAAGTTTAGTCCCCATTTTGAGTCTTTGCCAATGTCAGTACCTAGTGACATGTGCAGTATTAGGACTACAAATCATAGGAATTCATCAGAGGGAGGGAACACTTCCATCCCACAGTTTGTGCAGGGTGTTTTCCTCTATGCTGTCCCTCTGCTTTTGTTCATGTACCTCACATTCTTGTTCTCTTAAGAGCCTAACAAATACAGGGATTCTAAAATGAGGTTCATGTTTACTCCAGTATTTATGTACACAAATATCCTTCACAATTCCCTGTGCCAGCGAATATATTTCCCTTGTAAATGAGTTGCACTCAAAGTTTCAAGTGAATTGAATAACATTTCCCTTGATGGTAACCAATCTTAGAAAAAGTGCATAAAATTTCAATTTAGAAAAAACTCTGGGTGAAGGGAGAGAAGAGCTAAAAAACTATGGTTTCCCAGGGGACTGAGAAAGAAACCCTTAATTTAAAATACAGTGCAATCACTGGACTAGGCTTGTCCAATTCCTATGATACCCAGGCGAGGGTGATAAATAGCTAGCAAAGTTAGATGGGTTCTATGTTTCTTATTTTTAAAAAAATTCCACCCAAGCTCTTGAAAACATACTCCTTTTCATTCAGGTTACTTTCTCCTACCATTCCTGAACTGGTTCCCTGGACTTCCTTGGAAATAAACATGAAATTGATAAAGTTCTCCTTTCAGGAGGCTTGAACAGTTCAACTTTAGAAGTGCATCAGAAGGCTCCAGAGTGTGTTAATCTGTTTTATGATATAGGGACAGCAATGATAATTTAAATACACATTGAAAAAAGAAATATGCATACATCTGCATATAAGTATAAAATGCCACTTTCAGTGACTTTCAAGACATAACATTGTAAGGTAACAAGAAATCTTAACACTAAAGGTACATTAATATTTGTGAAATATTTTAAGCGTCCTTCAGAAGTATCTTTGGTTGAGTGTATTTCTTTGCAATGATGAATATATGACATTATATTACAGACTTTTTATCTGATTTATTGTGATAATCTTGACCTGCCATATCTATAAAGCAGGGCAGACCTTAAATCAAAATCTGTCATGCGAGTGTCAATCCTTCATACCTCAGAGGTCAGGAAATGTAGAGGTGAGCACAGTCTCTGGATCAGTAAAGTGATTTTCTCTAAAGATTGCTGAGACAGTTGAAAGGGAGTCATGGATGGGAAAACCGAATAATGTGGAAGTTACCCATTTTCCAATTTTAGATCCAGTTTCTTTGTTGTTTATTCTTGGATGTTTTGGTCATATAAAGAGTTGAATGCTCTATATAAAAGTTGAAGTAGTGCTGAAGTAAAAGAAATATTTTAATAACCTCAGATAAATCTTAATTGTGTGCCCTCATTTTTTTCAATGTGAGAATTTAAAACATCTAAATAAGTTTTATAAGTAACATCAAATTTTAGAAGAATTTTTGTATTCATATGAGGAGGATTCATATGTATTTTTTATTTTATTCAGTCATTTGGGTTATTTTTCTCCTCAAGGTGGTGGGGATAGAATCCAGGGTCTCAAGTCTGCTAAGAAAACGCTTATTCAGGATCTGAATCTACTTCTGTCCTGAGTCTAAAACGTATGCTCAAAGCACTAATCTTTATTAATTCTGCAAGATTAATATCTGTAGTTTTGGGCTCAATTTTCTTAACATTGTTTATTCTTATCATTCATGTTCTTAGGTTTTTGTTCACATAAGGGAAACAAATTTCACCAAATGACTTATATTGTTGCTAAGCTCTCATACATTTAACTTTGCTCCTTTAACTCCTCTTTCAATAATTTGAAATCAACGAACCAGAAGAGGCTGGATTGAAATGTGACCTGCTCAGACCTTTTTTCCCCCTTTCAAATAATAAAAAATAGAATCTTTAAAGAACTTTCTTTGGCTCCTTTGGTCCTGCTTGGGTGACTTCGGTGTGAATCAGTACGATTTCTTTGAGTTTGATTTAACTATCTTATTCTTAAGCAGTTTAGGCATTTAAATATTTCTTATAGTTTCACTGGAGGTGAACACAGAGAAATCTCTAACTTTTCTCATCTAGCTCAGTAGTTGTAAATATCATGCACAGGCTTGAGTCTCATAATATATACTCTAACCCAGAAAATTTTTGCAACTAGTGACTTGACTCCCTCATTTAGATATTTTGTATCAAAATACTATCCTTTTAAACTTTTTAATATGAAGTAAACTTTTTATATGTAAAAAATGCCCCACACTCTGGTATCACTTTAATATTAGTGCAGCTATCAGCATTTTAAATATATATTTTTGATGTTCTTATTATGTTAGTGCCTATTTATATTAGCTGTATGATCCATCAGTACATGACTTTATTTGTCATATATCATACCATCTAACTGAATCTCTATTTTGGAATAACTTTATAATATCATTGAATAATGAAGAGTAATACACACAAGGTAAAATATAACCAATTTTATTTTACACCCATTTCAGCTTGTTGGGATCTACAATATTTGCTAGTGAACCTAAGGTATGAGGAGAAGGACGAAGTTGATTTCTGCAAGGAATTGGGCCACTATTCTAAGACAAGAATAAATGTTTACATTTTTATG